TTGCCCCATCAATCAGCAACTTGACGCTGGTGTTCCTGTTGACCGCATCCATGAACACGTCGAACTCGTCGAGGCAGCGAATGGGAACACCCATTGCCTCCCAGATCGACAGCAAGAGACAGATCTGCGAGAATGACTTCTCGCCTCCGGAAAGAGTCTTTGCATTTCGGCCTTCTCCGCTTCGTCTGGTGATGTCGGGTTCGACCGCAATGTCCATGACTTTCTTCACGTGGTCCACGTGCAATTTGCCTCGAAAGCCTCTTTCGCTCAGCTTCATTATGAAGCCTGCCCTTGACCGAGCGGTGATGTGTTGCCGGAACCGTTCCCACCGCATCTTTCTGTTCGTGAGCGTCCTGCGGAGTTGTTCTTGTAATGATTCGAGAGTCTTCATGTCGTCCTCAGCTTTCCGGAATGCCTTGGAGCACTTGGAAGCTTCCGCAGCTAACTCCGCCGGGTCGCCAACTTGCTTCTTCCACTTCTCATATTCTGCCCTCAGCTTTTCGTGCTTCTTCTTCAGGCTCTCATACGTGTCTCCTTCCGGGAGATTGACTCGTTCACACACCGCCCGGGCTTGCTCTGTGAAACTAGCAACATGTTCCTCGATCTCCTGTAACCTCCGTTCTAGCGAGCCGCGGTCGTTCTGACCCTCCTCAATGACGGCAAAAGCATTGTTCTTTTCGTACAGGTCATACTCCCGTTTCCGGCTGGCAGCTTGAGCTGCTTCTTTCGCCTTCTCAGCGACTCCATTCGCTGCTTGGATCCGCCCGTCGACTTCGCCGCATTTGTCGTGCGCCACCCGAAGCTTCTTTTTCAGCTCGTCGAGTTCATTCACCGAGTCTTCAAAGGAGTTCTCGTGGACTTTTAATTCATCCTCGGCCTTTTGTAATTCTTGACGCAGCTGCTCGAGCTTTCCACTTTCGGAATGATCCTCCTTGATAGCATCTTCCAGTTGCTCGACCCTGTCTTCCGCTTTCTGCACTTGTACGCGAAGCTCCGCCGTGTGGTTATCATGAGCTTTGAGGGCCTGCTTCGCCTTCAGATGGCGATTGCGTGCGCTGCTGAATTCCTGCTCTGCGCGGAGACGCTCAGTCTTGCGTTCCTCGAGGGTCCGTTCCTGTAAACGAATGTTCTCTCCGACGTCGGTCTTCATCCTGGGAGCTTTTGTCCAACCATGTGTCGGATCTTGGGCCACTGTCCCGCCGCGGTAAGACAGCATGAAACCCTTTTCCTTGACCTTTTGACCTAGGCAGTAGCATCGTCGAACGCGCGGTAAGGGTGTGCCACCATTGCGGAGTATCTGTGTGGCTTCAAATACGTCAGGAATTAGAATGGACTGTTCGATTTGATTGGCGATAATGAGCTGCTTCTTGACCAGCTCGTGGTCGATTTCCAACGCACTCAAAATTGTCTGGTACCGAGCATCTGGCAGATGTGACTCGACATCTAGGGGCGAGTGGTTGGTGATAAAGATGGGTAGATCGCCGCACCCGTTTCGTCGCATGATGCTGCTCAGTAGAGTCTCGTCTCGCTTGCTGGTAACAATGAAACCAGCAAGCGCCTTACCAAAAACTGTTTCCAGTATCGCAGACCACTCCGGCTTCAGCAGTCTGACATGTTTTGCGATCGGACCTACAGGCCGTTCCTGAAAACCCATTTCCTGCTGTATTGCTTGTAGCAAGACCCTCATGTTCTTGTGTAGAGCCAAATCTTGTGAATCGCGGTTTTCCTTGAGAGATTTGATCAGGTTTTCCAGCTCGGCGACTCTGGCGTCCTCCTGCTTCTTGGCCTGGGTGCTGTCATCCAGCAGCTTTTGCATCCGAGCAACGTCGTCCACGCAGGATTGTCTCTGCTCCAAATGCTCGCGCTGCTTTTGTTTCAGGGTCATGACTGCATCTTCTGCGAGATCGCGTTCAGCAATGCGACGGGCGGCACCACCTCCATCGAGCTCTGCCAGTCTGTGCTCCTCCTGGCCGATGGCCTCCTTCCTCTTTGCGATGGTCTCCTCAGCCGTCTTGACGTGTAGACCGATTTGTCGCTGCTCGGCTTGGGCCTCCAGGCAGCTCTTCTTGATTTCCGCATATTGCGCTTTGTCTTCAGCTTTTTCAGCGTTGAGGCGGTCAACTTCTGCCTTTGCAGCTTCGTATGCCTCCTTTGCCACAGATAGAGCTCCATCGGATTGCTGAAAGACGGCGTCGAGCTCCTCGGCCTTGGCCTGAGCGGCGGCTATCCTGTCATCTGTTTTCCGGATCTCTTCGAGATACTCGTCGCGAATATCCTCCTTGGCCGCAACTTGGGCCCAGGTGAGCTGCCGGGTTTGCTCGCGCAACTTGGCTCGCATGCCCTCATGCTTTTCGGCTATGGCCAACTTCGTTGCTGCTCGTTCATGCCTGTCCTTGAGCACCTTGAGATCCGGTTCTCTTTCGCGGATTCTGGCACTGATGTTGTCGAGCTGCTCTTCGATAAGCCTGTAGTCCTGGTCGAGTTGTTCAAGCTGGACACCCTTCATGAAGAATTTGTATTTCTCGGTGGGACTCGAGCCTGAAAGAAATTGGCGAGCCTGGTCTTGGGAGAGGACGGCCAAGGGATTCTCAATTTGCAACATCATGTGGTCGCAGATCTCCTCGAGGTCGGACTTTCGGGTCGAAATCAAACGGCCTTTCTCAGACTTGAGCTTGAAGCCGCTGCTGCCATTGCGTTGGATGTGGCGTTCGACCTGAATGGTCGCCCCGTAGAGTTCGGGCATGTAGGCATTCTCGCCCTGATTCTTGATTTTGCAGACGATGGTGGCATGGTCTTCTCCTTCCTTGATGAAATTCTGCAGGCGAGCCCCTCTGTTGGTTGCAGACGCTTTCCCTCCCAGGCACAGGATGATGGCAGTCAGTATGGCACTCTTCCCGCTCCCATTCTTGCCGCAGATGAAGTTGATTAACGGGCCCAGTTTAAACGCAAAGCCTTTATGGCACATAAAATTGACGACTTGGACCTCTTCCAGGATTCCGTACTCGGCAGGTTCGTTGATAAGTTCTCCGCGCTCCTTTCGTGCCTCCAAGGCCTGGGTCATGTGCATGAGTATCTCTTCGTCCTCCTCCTCGTCATTGCTATTCGAGTCGATATCAGACGGTGGGGTGCTTCCACGGCCATCTTGGTCGCTGAAAGTGTCCTGGGGTACGGAGGACTCGTCGCTCGTGCGTCTCCTCTTGTTCTGCGGCAATCGTGAGTACGGGCTGTGGGCGACGATCGAGGAGAACTCACTGAGGCGCGGCGGGGAGGCGATGACTCTGGACTATCCTCAGTCTGATCGTCGCCGTCCGCGGGCGCTGACCGTTTGCGGGGTCTCGACATGACCTTCCGTCACACACTCTCAAAGAGAGATTCGAGTAAAGAGCGTCCAGGCGAGATTGTCAGTGGCGGAGATCATAGCCTGGGGACATTTGGCAGACCGGAAGGCAACCTGAGCGCGTCCTGACGCGTTGCGTTGCTCGTTGGCGGGCAAGTTCCGGCGGGTGACCTCATTGCCCCATTGGGTGCCGATGTCGCATGGGAATTTCAATGCTGAACTAAAAGTACAATACACCAACCAACCGCAGTGTCAAGACTCAAGCAGCTCAGCTTAAACTATGGCCTCGGGCTCAGGCAATAATGGAGACAAGTCCAAGCCCAAGGTATGCAGGCTGCGCGCTCCAATTCCAGGCTGCCGCACAGACTGATTTGTGACAGCCCAGTGCCCTCCGTTCGATCATAGCCGGCTCAACAGCTGGAGCAGTTGAAATCTCCATTACATATCCCTTCGACCTCCTGAAAACACGGTCGCAATTGAACCGCCGCTTACCAGACTCGAAGAAGCTGCCGTGGCCACCCTTCCCGTCGAAAGAATGGTACACCGGTTGCACGACCGCCATAGTGGGGAACTCGGTCAAGGCAGGCGTGCGGTTTATGTCCTTCGACACATATAAACACCTCCTATCAGACGAGAATGGACAGATATCCGGCCCTCGCACAGTCGCCGCCGGCTTCGGCGCTGGCGTCACCGAATCCTTGCTGGCAGTCACGCCGTCGGAATCAATAAAAACCCAGTTGGTGGATGACCGAAAAAGACCGAGTCCCAGAATGCGCGGCTTCATCCATGGGTCCACGGTCATCGCGCGAGAAAAGGGCATCCGGGGTTTCTTTCAAGGATTCATCCCCACGACGGCACGACAGGCAGCCAACAGCGCGGTCAGGTTCAGCACTTATACGAGCCTCAAACAATTTGCCGAAGGCTACGTTGCTCCTGGTGAGAAGCTGGGTTCGCTGACCACTTTTGCGCTGGGGGCAATGGCCGGTGTGGTCACAGTGTACAGCACCATGCCGCTCGATACCGTCAAGACACGCATGCAGAGCTTAGAAGCGAGACAGACCTACAAGAACAGCTTTCACTGTGCAGCGATGATCTACAAGAACGAAGGTCTGCTAACGTTTTGGTCTGGAGCATTACCGCGACTGGGCCGTCTGACACTGAGCGGTGGTATTGTCTTTACGATGTGAGTCCGCCGTCGCAGCAACTTGTAGCCACCGAAACACGAACTGACTTGGTTACCCACTAGGTATGAGAAAACTATGCAACTACTGGACCTTGCGGACCCCGACAGGAAGTACATATAGGCGACCATTGCCTTGGACTGCTCGGGCAGACACCATCAGATCAGACGCCATAGTATGGCGCATAGCTTGCGGGAAGGTAGTCATCTGTCTGGCACTCAGGCAGGAACATATCCGGGCAGCGTCTGGAAATTGTGCTACATGGGAAGAAGCAATTGAAAGGAAACGGTATACGTTGTATCGTGGAGACTACGTCCCTCAGGCAACATTCTGATAGGTATATCACCAGGGGCAAAAGAGGGAACACCACCACCACCCACGTAGCAGCCTAAAGACGATCTGAATTTCGAGGTATTCAGACACTGTACTGATATATACCCTTAACAAGAACAATTTAACCGACCTGACACTTTGCACTTTCTTCACTCCTTCAGCTTGACCTCCTTGACCAAGCCCTCTCCCAACTTGACCATCTCGGCCACGACCGCTTCCCGGTTGAAAACGCACATATCCTTGGTCCCCTCATTATCCCCTTCCGCAGGCAGAGGTACACTCGACCAACCAAGTCTAACCCGCCACGCCTTCCGCCCAAGCACACTAGGCTTCCACAATCCGGCAATCACTCTCCCGCCATTCTTATCGTAGAAGAACAACGCCGACGACCCAAAGGCGTGGTTCAAGTCGTGCAGGTACAGCTCCACGGCACTATGTCCGATCGAATCGACATCGAGGGACTGGGCGATCTCCAGATTCTTGAACTCTCCATCAGCGCCCGGTCCGTCCTTGGCCGTCCTGCCAGTCTTCTTCCTCGCCTTGCCACCCGTGACCGCAGAACTCTTCAGATGGATGACGAAATCATAATCGGCCAATTCCCCGACAAACAGGCCCTTCCACGACGCCTCGTCCTCCAACCACTTCCCCTCGATCATGTTCATTGCGGCTTTCGCCAACGCAGTCACTCGCCCTGCCACAACCCTTGGGGGACATGCATTTCCCGTCCAACCCGTGCCGGTGGCGTCAAGATTGCTCCCTACGAACCACACCACGGTATTCATATTGGGATCAAGCTTCCTCCACGCTTGGAATCGCGTTTCCATTTCCGCCCTTTGAGCGTCCGCCACGCCATCCTGAGAGAGTGACAAGTCGACAATCAGTGGCGAGAAGGACCAATCCCAGCACGACAAGAAGTGAAGACATCGCAGAAATGCCGTCGTTGCGGCACCGGGAACCTCCCACGGCGCTGGGTACAGGAAACAATATGCGGCGATGATCTCGAGGACTTCCTCGGGGATATGCATAGACAGAAGGTGTGAGGAGATCCATCGTTTCAATAATCGCACTGTCACGGATAATGGTGGAAATTTCGTGATTAGGTTCTTCATCGCGAGTGTGTGGACCGTCTTCGCTTCGAAATCTCTCTTGTGCGCCGCCAGCGCGAGGGCAAGAGAGTCCCGCGTAGAGCCGTGCAGGGATACATCAGCCAGGGCATTTTGGAGGAGATGAGCTTCGCGGTCATGGTAGATGCGCAGACGGAAACAGATTGGAGAGAGACCAGGAGCGGGGGCCGGGTGAATGATGTCCAGGAAGGAGATGTTCGACTGGCCTGTTGTAGCGGAATCGGTGTTTTCGAGTCCGACCCGGGTGGTGAGCTCCGTTTTGCTTTCAGCAAGAAGCTCGGAGAGTTTTAGCAAAAAGGCGATTTTGGTGTGTTGAATCGCAGAGAGGGAGTCGGGCCAGCGGGTCGAGGAGTCGAACTGGATGAGGATATCGATGGGGGCTGTGGTTGAGGGGAGGAGTGGATGCAGCGTCGAGGTCGAGCGTAGAGCCGGGGAGGCGGGTGAGATGGAGCGGATTGGCAAGGGGAGGCCTTCGAGATTGTGGAGCGTTGACGTTAGGGTTTGGAAGGTCGAGTTGATGAGTAGGAATGCGTCCTTGGGACCAACTGGAGCTGATTGTTCGTCGTCTTTCAGGATGGTGGATTCCAGGTTTGGCCTTTTTGTTTTGACAGAGCTGGGTGGTAGTTTGAAATGCAGCATGGCAAGGTACGCAATGATCTGCAAGGTCACCGGAGCGCCCTGAGACCACACGAGAGCCTCGGAAATACTGCCATCCTTGAACCGGCGAAGTTCGGCCTTTTCACCCCAAAATCTGCGGAATTCAGCTGCTTTCTCTTGCTCGTCGGCTGAAGGCCCGTGGTCAACAAGACGGGAGATAGTATCCGGGTTGGTAAGCAGTCCAATCTCTAAGTCGTAGTCTCCGTTGCCGCGAGAAGAGGCCTCGTTAAGGGCCCAGCTCGACTGTGGCGGTATTTTGAAGTCGATCAGGCTGACCCTGTCACCGAGCCCTCTCACGAGAGCACTGTGTAGTCTGTGCAGGAGTTGGCGCTCGTCTGCAGCTGTAGTGACCAGATTTGCAGATATTTGTACCGAGTAGATTTCGTCGAATTGCAACAACGGTATCGCGACATTCAGCATGAAAGTTGTGTCGAAGCTGTCCCGGCTTTTCGAGTTGACTGCAGCTAAAGATATCCGAGCATGGTGGCGCAGAGCTTTGTATGACCAAGGGCTCATCTTGTACAGGATATTGACACCTGTACTTCCATCATAGACAACAGGGACGTCTGAATCGGGGAGCTCAAACTTCGCGGCGCCCAACAGAAGCATTGAATCCTTCTGCAGATCTCGAACTGCCAGGACTTGGAGCATCGCCTTGAATAATTGAAGACTGCTGTACTGCTTAGAGAACAGCGGATGGCCCTGGTGGCCGCCCTTCTCCAGTAGCATTGCGCACATCCAAGCCCACTCCAGGGAACCGAACCCGCCGGAATGAACAGAACTGGAGAAATTTCGTTGGCGGAGCCAGAGCTGACCTATCCGGCAGGCTTCGGCGAAAGCTGGACTCATTTTCAGAGTTCCGCGAAGACGCTCGTCAATGTTCGAATGGGATGCTGCATAGCATACAGTGCTGTTATAGAAGGGAGTCGGCCGGTCTTCAGCCGTAGAAGCTCCGGGTGCTGTTTGCCGCAAACAGTTCCTCGTGGGCAAAGTCTTGGTCACAGGTATTGAACCCGGTGCAAGACCGACTGCTATTCGGAAGGCGAACTTCGACAGACTTGCGTCCCTCGGAATGAGCTTGAGGATTGGCAGGAGATCGACATCGTGCATGTATGCAAAAGACATATCAAACTCTGCCCCCGACTGACCCTTTATTGCATCGGCAATGCAAGCAAGGTAAAAAGCGGCCTTGTGCAAAGCTCTGTGGTTTAGGTAGTCTTTCTCTTGCAAAACAGCATTAGGCATGAGGACAGTGACGTCTATTACGTTCTCGTTCTTCAGACTCCACCCCTGTGCCAATGCACCCCAAACCACAAAATGCTTGGGAGGAAGAAACTCGAACTTGTAATTTGTCTCTTTCGTTGGCTGGGGCTGTGGCCAGGGAACTTGGATGCCTTGCTTGCGGCATGACTTTGATGCTTCAGTGGCCGTAACAGGCGGACGCTGAGGTATGCCCTTCATCGACGACACTAGCTGATCTGAAATCCGAGCCCATCTTGGTCGTAGCCTCTCGTAGTCCGGAGTCATCTCCGTAGCTAAGTCGGACAACTGAAGGGAGAGGGTGGCAGATTTGTTAATGCCGCCGGTGGGCAAAACAGTTGGCTTCGACGCAGTAACCCGACCTGACTTAGGGATCCTTGTGACGTGGTTCTTCGTAGTCGGTTCAATCTGACGGCCGGATTCGGTACGGTCGCCACCGCCATTAGATGCTTCCGCATCACTTGAGCCACTGGAAGTATCAGCAAACTCGGAGTCGTGCTCCAGCTTCCGCCTCTTGGGCGAGCGCCTCCCTCCTTGCGATTTCATGATAGACATCTCACGAACAAATTATGCTGATGCTGAGGTGTCGATCTCAACTGGTGAGCCTCCGAGCTTCATGCGATTTCAGCCATCACAGCACCGCTCAATAATCTGCATGGCGCCGCTACAGGAGTTTGATGAATATATGGCGAAGTCTTCGTCCAAAACTTTTATTGAAGCTAAGAGATAAGATTAGATTGTTTCGTCGGTGCTAAAGATGCATGAGTACGTCATCGTAACCTTGCAGATTGCAACCTCTGCGACGATTCGAGCCTCCTCCGCTTCATGTTACCCTAAAATATAAGAGGCCAGGTATGAAGACACAAGAGAGATCATTCAGTCGATGCCAGCTACAGATCTGCCTTTTAGATCTTTGGCTCCTCCTTCCCGCAAACCTGGGTGTCTCTTTCTCCCGCGTTCAACTTCTTGGAGCCATTCAAACCCTTCTCCTAATTCTGCGACTGTGGAGATTCCAAGAGTGATCTTGAAAGAATCCAGCTAGTCTACAATCTTTGGGCTATCAAACCAAATCAACAACTTTATTTAGAGACCGCGATGAGAAAAGCAACCTCGCATCTTGACGCCCCTTTTGCGCCGCTGATCTCACAACTTGAATCCGGTGCGTCTCTATCCAGGATTATACATAGCATCGGGAGTAAAGAACCGTGCTTGGCCTCTGGATCCCAGGACCTTCAGTGCCATACAACTAGAGTTCAGTCTCATATCCTCTGCTTATGCTATACATCTCAGCCTCTGCATTCTGATGTGTTGATGGGTCACATCTGTCCTCAATGCGGTACGAGTATTGCCGCGTACGCGCTGCGCGAGTGGTGTGGCGTTGACACGCGGCCCGAGTCTCGTCACCGCACTCACATAGTGGTGATCACTGGATGATAGAAAAGCCCGATTCCCGCACTATGTCGAGAGTCCCTCCATCAGTCAACCCATTGACTTGAGTTACCTCATGAGTTTGCTCTCCTTAGATCCCCCAAGTACTGTTGATTTACCTGGTCCACAGCGCTCTCCACCACGCCATAATTCGCTGTGATTGTCAGGTCGGGGCATCCGTCAACGGCACATACCTCACTCCCATGTCCTTCTTCCTCGTCACCTTTCCATCTTTATCCTTGTCGACCACCCAGATCCACTGGCTGCCCCAACCACCCTCGTCCTCCACCGGGATGAACATCCGCCCGGGCCTGGCCAACTGGTCGATCAAACTCTGGTGCATTTCCTTGGCCGCCGCCCCGACGTGGATCGCATTATAAGGTCCCCCCTCGGGATATCCCTTGCGGCCGTCCCCCGTCACGAGTTCGACCTTGCCGGACTCGAGCAGCGCCCGTCCTTCCTTGCTGCGCTGCATGTTCTCCCGCGACATATCAACCAGGCCTTTGATGTGGTCAATACCCACGACCTTACCCGCGCCGGAGCCGTCAGCGCCGCACACGATCGTCGCGAGCACGTGCGTTAGGTATCCGCTTCCGGACCCTATATCTAGGACCTTCGCGCCCTGATTCTCGGGCATGAACGGCAGCAGCGATTCGCAGGCCGAGGCGTGCATGTGTGGGGCAGAGATGGTGGCGCCGAACCCGATCGGCTGGGGCGAGTCTTCATACGCGGCGTGGGGGGAGGAAGGACAGTAGTGCGCGCGGTCGACGGCGGCCATGGCGTCGCGGACGCGCGGGGCTTGGATTAGGCCTTGGGTGAATAGGTTCTGGATCAGTTCGGCGTTGGTGCGACCGGAGCAGCGCCACGCCATGGTCGAGGATGGGGGAGGCAGCGTGTATGGTAGGAAGGATTTAATAGTAGAGAAATCGAAGTGGTATGGGAGGAGCGAGAAGAGGACGATAAATCCTGTCCAAAGTAGCAGATTCGCAGTGGAGTGGAATGACATGCAACCTTGGGTGGTGAACTGCTGAGGGGAGCACCGCCGTTACAGTATCTACAGGAGAACGGGTGGTGGTCGCCTGCCTGCAGGGTGGACTTGTAGAAATGAAAACAAATGGAAGGTCACCGCAGAAGTGAACCTTCAGGCATCAGAAGCAGCCGAGGAATGACGCGGGGTGACAAGTTACTCAAGTGGCCCGGAAATCATCTCCGAAGTGCGGGGCAAGCTCAGCCTTGCATGCAATACACGGTGAGGGAAGCAGGGTACTTTTCTCATTAGCCACGATATATGTGTGTTTGACGACAGTTCGAGAATGCAGCGACTTCGGGCTGTCGGGTCTTCCAATGTGACAGAGGAGGGGTCCTTAGTTGAACGGCGAGACACCCCGTCGTCTCTATGAAGACTGAGCGAAACAGATGTCTACTCGTCTATATCTGCACTCTCTCCGCCGCTTTCAATGCCCGGTCTACCTTGTCCGCCAGTTCTGCTGGCTCTTCCAAGCCAACACTTAATCGAACGAGATCAGGCTCAACGCCCCATTGTGCCGTCCACTCCATCTCTGCGTAGTGAGCCAACACAGTATAAGGACACGCCAGCGTGAAATTTGTACCCAAACTCGGGCCCTTCTGGACCTCGAGGGCGTCGAAGAAAGCGACTGCCTGCTCCGGGTGCTGGAACGTTACGGACAGCAATCCGCCATAGCCACCATTGGGGCTGCGGCAGGCATCATAATTTGGTCGACTAGGGCTGCACTTCGGATAGTAGACCTGCTTGACCAACGGGCATTGCTGCAACAGCGTCACAACAGCCTCTGCATTCTGATTGATCCGCTCACTTCGGCGGATAAAGTCGCGAGAATTGCGTTCCATGAACACTGCATCTTCGGCCCAATAGTTGTCCTCGTACTCTCGGGACATGGCCTGCTTGAGTTCAGGATACCACTTGCTCTGCGGGTTGAGCACACAACTGCCGCCCATCACGTTGCTGTCGCCGCTGAACACCTTAGTAAGGCTGCTTACGACGATATCTGCGCGGCTGAGGACGTCGATATTGGTGAAGTTGCCGACCGTCTCGTCGACAACGACGGTGAAGTCGTACTTATCGGCAAGAACGCGGATGCGCTGAAGATCAGCGGAGTTGAGAAGTGGATTGCTTGGGAACTCGGTGAAGAGAGCCAAGAACCTCTCACCGGCGTCAAGGCGTCTATCCAGGTCATCTATACAGGCGGCGCTGCCATGGCCGTAGAAGAGGCATCCTGCGCCCCACTTCTCCAGGATTTTCAAGGTGTCGATGTAGGGAAAGCCGAAGCATACACTCTTTCTGGGTGGCTGGCCATTTGCTTCAGCATTGGCCAGGAGGATGCGGTGTGTGTTGAAGATCGAGGACATGCCAGAAGGGTACAGGTAGACGTCGTTTTCCGAGAGTCCCTTTTGTCGTCCGGCGCACCCGTCTGGTGAGTTGGTCAGTGCTTGTTCCAGTTCTGCGTCGTCTGTCAGGCAGCCGCTGATTCTACGTCGGATAGCCAGTTTCGCCTGCGAGGCTAGCTTGACGTTGAGATTGCGACCGAAACGTTCCTCCACGAATTGTGTGTGGTCTCTGTCTTCCCCATCCGCGCCGGCTCGATCTGTCGTGGCATTATTCGAGGATGGGATGTCGTGAATGATTCCGTTCCGCGATCCCGGACGCTGGTATCTTCGAGGCCCCTTCGTGTACATATCATCCGGTCTTGGCTGTGGTTGCGTTGTCACTGGCTCGAGAATCCCGTCCCTCAACGCCTTTAAGCAAAATTCACCTCTGCGGCTTGAGATCCCATCTCCCGTGTGCTGCCACACTTGCTTTGCCACACTGAAATATTCTTTGGGGAAGAAGACACACGACAGGCTCGAGAGTGTGGTGGCATGGCTTCTGTTCCCGGTATTGACCGGCTCCAACTGCAGAACGTGGACAACCCCGACTCCCAGGCCTTCGACTTTGTCGTAGAAGAACTTCAAGCACCTCTTCGCGGTGGCGAGCGAGGGGAACAGCATGACTGCCTCTCCTGATCTGCCATAGAGCTTCAAAATCTCGTTTCCCAGCTCCTGGATCGTTAAATGGATGAAGAACCGTGGGTAACCAGTCTGCATCTTGGAGAGCACCCAGTCCTCGCCTTCCTCGTAACCCACCGTCGCTTTCCATGACGGCAAGGATACGCTGACGGCGTGAGGTGTGTTAGGCACCGGTTGCCCCACCGCAGCGAGCATTGCGGTGGCCTGCTTCTTCGAAGATCGTGAATAGACGTGTTGGTGACCAATAGTAGGAGAGGCAGTGTCAGTCAACGGGCAAAGAGTCACGACGAACAGAGTTTTCCGACTTCGGAGGTCTTCTGCTTAGTTTCCTTTTCGGGAATTTCGCGATACAGTAGTAGCTTTGCGAGTTCTGGACACCCACTGGACGCAACAGATAATTATTGCGTCGCAACCATCAGTCTGTGGTTTGGATGATATCTGATGTTTCCAGAGGATATGTTGCTCCATTTTCGTCATCACAGATATCACACTGGCTGGCCGTGGATAATCTATCATCCGCGGAAGAAAGGCGGGAGAAAGGCATGCTACAAAAGATAAAGCACAATGTCAGGCCTGGTTGTGGCACCGATGTCTTGCCGTACTGACGACCGATCCCACTTTTACTTAAGATGGCTGAACCGGGCCAGGATACTCCTTAGCTCAATCCCAGGCTGCACAGGGCACATGGGCTACAAAGCGCAGCTACTGGGAGCCGTCGACCGCAATGCTGCCATGATCGCCCCCCTACATGAGACATCAGGGCGCGCCAACGCCCCTCAGCTGCGTTCGGGTTGCGGGTTACTCAGATCTATTGAAGAAGCGGAAACGGACTTTGCAGAGGTCAAGATTCCGCGCTGAATGTCGTTGTACCCCTTGATACCTGTGTCATAATAGTCGGCACGAGGACGCCTTTCTAAGACCCAGTCATCGGCTCCTCGGCAACATAATGCAGGTACGCGCCCAAGAGCTTGGTTCCCTCGATGTAATTCCTCCGGTCCAGCTTCTCATTAATACTATGCGCCGCATCCGTAGAACTGCCCATCGGCAGCAATAGCACGTTCTTCCCCGTCGCCTGCTCAAAAGTGATGGTCACCGGGATGGACCCGCCCTCTCTCGTCATATCGGGCTCCACGCCGAAAACTTCCTTGACTGCTTTGGCCGCTGCAGAGAAATTCCAGTGCGAGGGCGAGGCGACCCACCACTTGCCATCGTGTTGGCAATAGACGTCCAGCGAGTTCTTGGAGTTCAGTTTCGCGAATTCGGAGCGGATGTATTTGAAGACCGCTTCGTTGACAGCGGAGGATTCCATGTTGGGCACCGTGCGAATGGAGAATTTGCCAATGACTTTGGCGGGGATGACGGTCTTTGCGCCGGGAGCACTAAACGCACCTTCCACACCGTGGATGGACAATGAGGGATATCGCCATCTTGCCATGAGGGTCTTTTCCTTGTCGTTGAAAATCGAGGTTTCGCTGCCGAGCGATTCGTACAGGTTGTCCATGGTGTAGGCAATGGGTCCGTAGAGTTTCTTCTCTTCTTCGGTCAAGGGGGCCACCATTTCGTTGATACCTGGGATGAGGATCTTGCCATCGGTGGAGACCAGTTTGGAGAGGATAGTCATGAGGTCCGTCATGGGTTCTTGGGCCGTACCGCCGAAGACACCGCTGTGGAGGTCCTGGCCTGGACCTTTGATTTCGACAGAGTAGTAGTTGCAACCTCGGAGACCGTAGGTTAGGCACGGTTTCTCGGTACCGAGCCAGTAATTATCGGAAATACAGACTGCGTCGGCGTCTTTGAAGAATTTCTTGGCTTCGGCATTGATGAAGTCGTCGAGACCCTCACTTCCATACTCTTCCATGCCCTCAAAACAACAGAGTAAATTGACGGGAAAGTCGACCCCAGCTTTCTGATGGGCTTCAATAGCGTTGAGCCAGCCCAGCACGGGACCTTTGTCGTCGGTGCTGCCGCGGCCGTACATTCTGCCTTTGTCATCGATGGTGAGTTCGAAGGGTTTCGTGGCCCAGCCATCCTCGACGAGAGCGGGTTGGACGTCGTAGTGGCCGTAGACGAGGATCGTGCGTTTGCTCTTGTCGTTCCCGTAGCGGGCGATAATGACAGGCGGGAGGTCGAGGTGTTCTTTCCCGGGTTGTTTGCCTAGTGGGCGTTGTTGCACTTCTGCGCCCAGCGATTCGAGTTCGGAGGCAAGGAATTGGCCCATCTAGATATCTGTGAGTATGTCGTGGACATGCCATCTTTCGGCGCATACATACTCGAACAACATCCTTTCGTCTTTCTTCATCTGCTGAAACGGAGGGAATTGCGACGGCTTTCCGTAGTCCTGCCTGGAATTAGCACCCCGCCAACACCAGCAGTCAAGGCTGTACGCACGGTCGATAAAGGAGTCGGCGAGCTCGTCAACCCTGCATTATATTAGCTAGTTGACGGTGTGATGGAGTTATCTGGCTCACTTCTTGAAGTACGGTTCTAGTTGCGGCGCCATCTTGTCGTCTGATATGTGGCCGTAGTATGGTCGAACAGAGCACGTAGTGTTTTTCAATGGATGGAGCAAGCCTATCGAGGAGCGCGTAGGTCTAAGCTTGGTATGTAAAGACGTTGGAGAGCAGCGAAAAGTGCGAGAGAGGTGGAGCATGTGAGCTGCCTGGTGGGATGCGAAGACTGCGGTTGGATGCGGTTTGGAGAGGTTGAGGAAGGAGTGAAGATCTCCGAGCAGCGCAAATTGGTAGTTTGACCTGAATTATACATTGGCAACCCGCCGAAACGATATGCTCTGTGGCTTTCTAATGCGGCAATAGTACACGCTGATATATAGAAGCTCAGCACGCTGAGAAGAATGCATCCTGCCAGATCTTCTATGCATCTTTCAGCCATCGTTCTTTTCTGATCTGCCTGTCCTCACGTGCCTCCCGCCTCTTTTTGCCCCAGTTCGACTTGATGATCGCGGTCACCATCTGCTGCTCTTTGCCTTTTTGTGGCGCTAAGCCGTCCACAACCAGATGCGTGAAAACGGGTGAGCAGTCGAATTTCTTGGAGAGTTTACTGACGCTCCACTGAATGGGTTCGGTCATTCTCAACCTTCGCATTTCCTCCAGGTCCTTTTCCGTCAAGTGATATCGCTTTTCTGTTTGCCCCTTCACAGCTGGCAGTTGTTGAGCCGATTGTAGTTGTAAGCCTCTGGTTTCGGGGTCTGGGAACACCTTTCTCCGGTCGTTTTTAGGGAGGAATAAGTTGGGCGTGTGGTAGACATTGGGCATGCTCGGAGGAGGATTGTAGATAATGTGGTCATGCGGCTCGGTCTTGGAAGGGAGAAAATCTGGATCGGGCTTGATATTCAGCCGTGACCTAGTTCGTCGGTAGGTGTTGGTGGACTGATGGCGCCGAAACGAAGGGTGCAGGATTTGAGCACAGAGCTTGTAGAAGCGCGACGACGCTGATGTGACCGTTATTGATTGCATCGCCGTCGGCATCGTGCCACCTCTTTTGTCAGATGCCCAAGTTGAAAGTTATTGACGGCCGTGTAATTCTTTTGCCAGAGGTGTCCCGACACTAAGGGAATTTCTTTGCGCCCTCAACCCGAGACTATCGCGCGTAAGGCATGCTCTGTGACGTCAAAAAGCTTTGCGGCCGTCGGGTCGAGCCTCTTGTTCCACCACTCGAAAGTGTGCCGATGTGTTGTGAGCTGGAAATGTCGAAGATCAATTGTGCTGCGCCTGGAAGCTGAATTGGGCGAGAGGAGGATCAGCCGTTCGCGCGCTGAAATTGGGCCACTAAGCGTGCAGCGCAGTTAGAGTTGAGCTTGGCAGGAGTGAGCGGATGCAAGTTCGTCACAAGACACTGGCAACTTTGTCCCTGAGACAACTGGCGCTGCCAAAAACAGGTGCCTGGATGCCTGGATGCCTGGATGCCGCGGGTGGGAAGCCCCTAGGCATGCCCGCGACGCCCAATTGGATGGTCGAGTGACGAGCTTGCAGCGTGCCTCCAATGCCTAACGATGCAATCATTTGTTGTGAACTCGTCGATCCTTTCTTGCTTGCCGTGTCCCTCCTCTCCTCTCGTAAACCGGGAGTTCCTTCTGGCCTCAGCTTGACGTCTCCTCCCACTCACACCACAACCGCATACTTTTCGTTGCACAGGCCATCCATCGTCACCTCCTCGTCGCCCGGAGAACGCAAGTACAACCTGATCGAGAGATATATATTCTTGTTTAGCGGCCGGCGACCTCCGCACCCCGTTCCATTGCCCTGCGCCGCGACTGTGTACCCTGGCGCATGTTGTTCTGAGCACTGCGAGTCAGGCCCCATTGCAGGCACACGTTCAATCTCGCTTTTTGTTGCTCGCTCCATTCACGACATGTTCTGCCTCAGGCGCTTGAACTAGAAGCGAATTCACCTGATCTTCCGCACTCTGCACAATACTTCTCCCACCTGGCCTACTTGACTCCGGTTCGACCATATCACACATCTGCACCCCGCACCACACGCCGCTGCCATGTCGTCGAACGAACCGTCCGTCCACGAGAAAATCAGTGCTCCCAGCACCGAGTCAAAGGACTCTGCTTCACCACTGTTGAAAGACTCCGCTACACCGTCTACTCGAACAACAACCGCCGAGTCCGCAGGTGACGAGACCGCTGCAAAGCCGCGAAAGAGAGATTTCTGGAAGCTGGGAAAGAAGCCGGAAGAGGACAAGGGCAAGGGGAAAGGCACGACATCTTCAAAATCGCCTTCTACCGCGGCGAGCCCATTGACTGGCTTGAACCCGGTCTCGCCCATGAGATCACCAGACTTGGTTGGCGGTTCAGTGTCACCTCATCGGGGCTCTCTGGGTCACCCTTACGGCGTCCCGAACTCTCCAGTGCAAGGGATGGGCACTGCATCTCCCCGACCGCACTCGCCGGCCTCGTCCATGATCTTTGAGCGAAACGTCCAGGAGGATGTCGCTCTCCCCGAGAAGTCCCCGCACATGCCTTCTCATGTTCTCATTGAGAACCACATTGCGCCCGCTCTGGACGCATCTGCAGAAGCCATCACTGATGAAAAGCTGAATCCGGACACTGTGGAAATTGTCACTCATGCCACACATCAACCTGCGGCGGTGACCATCTCTGGCCTGGGAGCCGAGCAGTCTATGGCTTCTTCAATGCAAGACGACTTCCCCCCGTCGCTTGCGTCACCGGCGCATCGAGATACAGAGACCGGTTCCACCTATGGGTCTCTAGACACGACAGATGTCCGACGTTTGAGCTTCATCTCTTTTGCCGACGTTGTGCACGGCGAACAAGAATTTGGAGATGCGCGCCGCGATTCTACATATGTAGCAGGCCATCCGTCCCTGGCACCTGCTCGGTCTCCTTCTCCTCTTCGTTCACCCACCTCTTCCGCGGCTCCTGGGACATCACCCCCAAGCAGCGTCACGGCATCCGTGAAGGGATTTGAGACATCCCCCCACCGAGCGCCAAGAGGTGCAGGGAGCCCACTTCCAGGCCAGAGCTCGCCTCTGGCAGGAGGCAGTGAGATCAACGTCGAAACCATGCGACAGGCACTCCGGAAAACGGGAAGCGGGGATTTGAGCCATTTCCGCAGTCCACCACTGAGTGCCGTGGGCAATGATGACGGGACCTACGACCGACCTTTCAGATGAGTAGATACGACCACGAGGCCATGAACAATTCGGGAGGAGGTGGCATGATATTCGCAGGCGCACATCATGATGGTTGAGTTCCTTCGAAGCTCAATCTGAGGAGGATTACTATGAAGACAAGACAATATGGGTTCTTTAGTGTACTGACCTTCTGTGGAAAGGTCTATTTTCCTTCGGATATTAGATACCACTTGTCGACGATTGAATGCCAGTTCCACAACAGTAGATTGCTTCAATCGCAATTTGTGACAACCAGCTTTTGTGACTCCAGCGCGCATGACAAAGAAGATGGCCTTTTGCTGAAGCAGTGAGAAATCCGATCGAGGGACGATGCATATACTCGTACCCACCAGACACCGTCGAGACCATCACCGAGTCAGCTGCACCGATGCAGGGCATACCAACCGCATCACGAAACCTGGAGCAAGACCGTTGCAGCCAATGACCGACGGATAGGCAGCTGGGGGAGGATGAAGCCAAGGAGGATTCAACTAATTACTCCGCACTTTTGCTACGATCGCGCCCCGAGGATCGTATCAAACATCCTTGCCGAACCGAGCGGCCTGAACCATAACTTGTGTCCAAGAGGAGGGGGTCGGGCCATCAAAGCCCAGACGCTGAAAGCGGGCACAGCGTCCATAATGCTGCTGTTCAGGCCTCCCTTCCGCGCTATCGCTGTCTTCCTCTGCGACAACTCGTACTTCCTAGGATAAGCGTATCTACAGTACCGTGTAGACGAGTGGTCTCACGAACCAATCCCGCCGTCGAGGTCGGAAGAATCGTTCGAATCGGGGGGGAGGAGCAGCACACATCTGCGTGCATCTAACGTGCTCGGAAGAGGAACTTGAAGACGACTCGAGGAGATTGACCTCCACCACGACAGCTGCTTGCCTACTCGGCGACTCGCGACGATTCTGACTCCGACGACGTCTCGAAAGACGACGACCCTAAAGACGAGGACCCTAAAGACGACGACTCTAACTCTAATAACAACTCTAACGATAACGATAACCCGAAAGACGACGACCCGAAAGACGACGACCCGAAAGACGACGACCCGAAAGACGACGACCCGAAAGACGACGACCCGAAAGACGACGACCCTAAAGACGAGGACCCTAAAGACGACGACTCTAACTCTAATAACGACTCTAACTCCGACAACGACCTAAAAGACGACGACCAACGACGACCCGAAAGACGACGACCCGAAAGACGACGACCCGAAAGACGACGACCCGAAAGACGACGACCCGAAAGACGACGACCCGAAAGACGAGGACCCGAAAGACGAGGACCCTGAAGACGAGGACCCTGAAGACGACGACTCTGACTCCAACAACGACTCTAACTCCGACGAAGACGACTCCTCTAAAGACTCCTCCTCTCCCTCCTCCTCGAACTACACTTGATCCCGTCTCTTTCGTCAACCATGGCCGTGCAGTCTAACCTGAGCAACCTGCCGTCCCTCGCGAGCATCACCACTGGTACATTGTTCAACCCGCTCCTCACGGGCCCTCTGCTGCTGTATGTCCTGCGCCACCCGTCGGTCCTGGAGAAACTCCCCTGGCCACCGACCAAGTATTACAACCTACCGTTCGACCTGCCTTTTCCTTTCCCGAGCAGCATCCGCGTCGGAGCCACGCCCCCGCTCAAGACGCTCAAATTCCTCTTCACGTGGGGCCTGATCTTGTCCGTGAATCGCCTCTTGAACCGACTGGCCTTGAATTATGGCCATCTCAAGAAACAAGGGGAGCCATGGGAGTTTCAGACCGAGGGCAAGGAGACGGTGCTGATCACGGGCGGCTGTTCCGGGTTCGGCAAGGAAATGGCCAAAATGTTCGCCGAGCAGACCAAGGCCAAGATCGTCGTGTTGGATGTCCAGGCCCTGCCGGACGACCTGAAGGACGGTAAGTCTGTCTGTTTATCTGTCTTTACGTGCGTATCCGTCGTGCGATTGTGGCCGCAAGTTGGTCGCTTGGTCTGGACCTTGCTTCCCGGCGTCCTCGAGCGATATCACTAACAGATGAACCCCTCCTCCGGACAGTGCCACGCCTCTCATACTACAAAGTCGACTTGACATCCCCGCCGTCCATCCACGAGACGATCAAACAGGTGCTCGAGACGTCGTCGGTGCCGACGGTGCTGATCAACAACGCGGGCATCGCGCAGGCGCACACGATCCTCTCGACCAGCGACGAGTTTGTGGAGAAGATCTTCCGCGTCAACGTGCTCAGCCACTTCACGCTCCTCCGCCTGCTGCTCCCGCGCATGATGGCCCAGCGCAAGGGCCACGTCGTGACAATCGCCAGCATGGCCTCGTACACGGGCTGTCCGAGCCTGGGCGACTACTGCGCCACCAAGCACGCCGTGCTCGGCATGCACGAATCTCTCGTCGCCGAGCTGGCCACCCGCTACAAGGACCAGGGCGGCCACTGTATCCAGGCAACGACCGTGCACCCTATGTGGGCTCGCACACCGCTCGTCGGGTCCTGGGAAAGACAGCTCGTCGCTTCCAGGGCCGCCGTGCTCGAGGCCAAGGATGTCGCTGCGCCCGTGGTGCGCCACGTCCTGACGGGACGGAGTGGCAGCGTTTTCGTCCCCGAGCGGTTCAGGTACGCGACCATTGCAAAGGGGTTGCCTGATTGGGTGGGGATCAAAATGAGGCTGGATCTCGCCGTGAATACGGATGTGGGGAGGGAGGCGGAGAGAGAGACAGAGAGACAGGCCCTGGAAGTCAAGGAGAGGAAGGGCGTCGAAGAGAGTTGGGTCGAGACGTAGGGTGTGGTATAGCCAGGTAGGCCTTACATTGAACTCACAGGCTACGTACAGCCATGGCTGTGCAAATGCACTTATGATGAAGGAATGAAGGAGAGGCCCCGATCATGGTGGTGCTGGGGAAGTGCTCGCGCCGATGTTCTGTATGCATGTGGGTATGTATGTATATTCGTTGTCGAACCTTCCAAGCAGACGAAGACTGCGTCAAGTTAAGCCCTTTGTCTTTGGCATCCTACGCACTCTTCGTCTTTTCATGCTACACTGTGGAATCCGCAGTACGGTCTGGATTACCACAGCCACGTCACTCGTTCGCGCGCCGCAATGGCTTGGACATAAGGGAGAACTTCCATACCCTCATAGTCATGTCAAACCAGACTGTGGCCTAGGACGAGTCTTCTCCATCGATCCCATCACAGTCTGATGGACAGCAGGAGAGGCTCCAAGAACGTTCCATAGAGTTGGAATGCCAGTGCTTCCGGAAGCGCAGAACACAGAAGCTATAAAGATTGTGAGGTCATCTTTTTCTGCACAGTCGAGTCGAAGTGTACAGTACTATGATTGCCATCAATGATACTGAGAAGAAAGCATGCTTCACAAGACAAGTAGTACCTAGGTATCCAAACACGAACTGTACTGTATTGTACTGCACATCACTATGCTGCGGTAGCTAGCTACACTCTTGGTTCCTCGCCCGTCGAGACGTTCACATTCTTGCAGACATAAGCTCCGAGGGCCTGCCGGCTTGCCTGCTTGTCGTTGCTTCGATGTTATCATATTCGTTTCAATGAAATTGCGTCTCAGTGACTCCTTTGCCCATCGCACTCGTCGAGCTGACACCGCCGGTCACCATCTTCAGGAGATTGTCGACGTAGTTGGCACCGCTCCATTTCTGATGGGTCACCACGTCGATCTTGTTGGCCATCTCTGGCTCCTGGATCAGTTCGCCGTAGGCACGCATGCCTCGCTTGGCGAAGTTCTTGGCGAATGTGTCGGAGATCAGGGCCGTGGAATGGAGACCCGCAAGCGTGATGAACTGCCAGCAGTAACCCAGCTCGGCAAGACGTTGGATGTAAGTTTCTTGATCGGACGACGACATGGCCGCCTTCCAGTTGAAGGACGGCGAGAGGTTGTATGCGAGTCTAGAGGGACCTATGTTAGTCTCTCTGCGTGTGGGAATCGGCATGGTTGGGAAGATCCACTTACTTCTGCTCTGGCCACACGGCATGCACGCCATCGGCGAATTCCTTCGCCTGTGCGTAGTCGGGCAGCTTGCTCTCCATCCAGATCATGTCTGCGTAGGGCGCGTAGGCGATCGCTCTGTTGACTGCGCACTGGCAACCTCCTTGGTACCTGTAATAGCCTTCACGGGTTCGCGGGGCGTCCCAGTCCCAGAAGATATCGACGCCCGTCAGTCCCTTGGCGATGGCTCGGCATTGGTTGTTTGACTTGCCCTTCGAGGCAGACTTGTATTTTTCGATCAGGGCGGCCTTATCAACATGGACACCGGCGTTGATGGCGTCAATGACGGCTTCGTCGAACAACTTTATGCCGGCCTCTTCCATCCACTTGTCCTCTATTGCCTGGAGTTCTTCACCGTTTCTGCCCGCCTGTTCCGCTGCGACCATCAGATCGTTCAAGGGTTGGAGGTTCTGGTTCGTGGTGCCCAGAATGAATGCGTGATCCCGGTGATCAATCGTCGTTGTGATTAGAGTGGCGGCTTCGGAGTCCGTCCGGGCGATCGCAAGCAAGTCGACGCCCATAACGTCGGCTTGGGCGCGAATGGCCACCAGCCGATTGATGTGCTCGGAGACAGGGACGAGGACTTTGCCAGCCATGTGGCCGCATTTCTTGGTACCAGGAGCCTGGTCTTCGATGTGGATGCCCGCCGCACCTTTCTCCACAAACAGCTTGGTGAGTTTCATGACTGCGGTGAGACCGCCATGACCGGTGTCCGCATCCGCGATGATGGGTCGTAGGTAATCCACATTTGCCACGGAGTCACGTTTGTCCTTGGGTGTTGTGAGACGCTCTTCCCGTTGCTTGCGGTCGTGGAACAATTGAGCCATGAACAGATGCTGCACCTTGTTCGGGACCGTGTTCATGGGGTAATCCGCCAAATCGGGCGACGGCTCGTCCGTGGAAGATGCGGTGGAGGAGGATTGCCAGCCGGAGACGTAGACGGTGTCAAGGTATTTGTTCATCTGGGTCAGCATCGTCGGTTCAAGGCAGCCGTAGGTAGCAGAAGCCGTTTTGGTCTGCAGGACAGGTCAGTATGAGACGGGCAGATGGAGTGAGAGGAGGATGTTCTTGAGCCGTACCGCAAACCGCTCCTCGACGAGCTTCCACAACTTCTTAGCCTGTGCATTGGCTGGGTACTCAATCTTGAGGGTGCCGCGCTTTTGCACAATCTGTTCGGCCGTGAAGGGTCGTTTGGTAAATCGCCATCTGGAATCAGTCCACCATTGCTTGACAGATTCCACATCCTGCAGATATAGCTGCTCTTCTTGGTCTAGTGGAGACATCTTGAATGTGCTGATGACGCCTCTTGTTCAAGGTCAAGTGTGGGTATCTCGAAGAATGCAGCCCAGTTTCAATGCAGCTTACTGTTCCACAGACTGATCTCTACCACGACACAAGCAGGAGTGTCGACAGGGGGTGATCAGCACAAACCCAAACCCGAATGAAGGAGGTCAAAAGGAAGCTGAGAGGAGCAAGAAGAGGAGCATGCGTGAGGATTAAGTAAAGAAAGCACAGGCGCTGCTTGAGCGAGGCTCGGGCGCGCCAGTGGCTCTGATCTCGCCCTCCCTGTCCCGATGATGCATGGATGAGGGCTCAGTGAGTCAGTCTCCGAGCCAAAAGCTGGAGTCCGCGCTCAGGCCTTGCCTCTTCCGGGTGCAACAGAGGATGAGCGGGGAGCCCAGATTGGCTGAACGAGGTCATGGCCGGACTGGAGGAGAAGTAGCATGATGAGGCAAACAGGACCTCAGACGATGGACGCGATACTTTCTTGGGCTTCGGTCCATGATCGGCTTTGTGGGGGAAGGAGGTTGGCATGTGCCTATGACGTGGGTTTGGCTTCCTCCGTTCATCCGCTGCTCACTGGGATCTTCGCCATATTCGACGGATGTTGGATGCGCGCTTCTGGGCAGGGCTGGGCATGATAACATCCTTGAAGCTTGATAGCTGTAATTTCGCCTGTCTGGCGACGCCTCACGCTGTTGCCGTTGCGCATAGAACGATTGTTGATTCTGGAGTCAAAAGTATCAACTGACGTTTGCCTCGGTACCTCGTAGACTCTGCCCTGGCACGTGATATGGTGGACGGCAACGTTGCGGACACGCAGGGGCTGGATGCACGCCGCCGCTCGTCAGGGAAAAACCTCCGGGCAATAGGGCTTTACCACGCAAGCGCCACACGCCGATTGGTTGCACGAAACGATGCATTTTCACTTGAATCCTCGTACAAGGGAAGTTCTAGTGTTGATACTTCAATTAGGTCTCAATGTCCCTAGGTACGTAAATGCAGAAGTAAGTGCTCCTTGGGCTCCGAGGGAATCCCATTCTCATCCCTCGCGTCGTGCTTGAAAAAGAGTGCCATCCCACCAACGCCGAGGACCAATCGTCTCATCTCATCTGGGGCCCCATGCATTTATGCTCGCTAATAATGTCAATGTCGTAGCCCTCATTAGGCATCATGCGTCTTTGTGCCACTCTAGGTCTATTCTTCGCATCGATGCAACTGCAGATGTACCGCCAACAGGTGTAACAATCATGGTGATCACCTGCACAGCGTCGGCGTCGTTCAGTTTGTCAGGTCCTCCGTGCTGGAGCCGACGGCTGCCTCGCTTGGCACTTCGTCTCCTGAATCCGGCCTCGACTCGTCGGAGCCTTCGGGGATGGTCTCGTCAAGATCATCAACTGCGCTTAGTTTGATCTTCGTCGCCTTTTCGAACGTATCGTACGGGGTGAGTGTGCCCAAAGCTCGTTTCATGTGCATTGGAAGGAAGGAAAGCCCGTAGACATAGCTGGCGTTGACCCAACCAAACCTGGGATTGTCAGCACGAAGGTCGATGACACCACAGAACCGCATCACTTACCCTTCTCTGGGAACGCCCTTGAAATCAGAACCTTGATTGCCATACTCGGCCTCAACTTTGTGTGGATCCAGCTCCCGGGTGACGTTGTACTTCTCCACCACAACGCCATTGAAGTCGACAAACGCTTTGGTGACCATGTACAACCACTTGTACGCCAAACGCTGTGCGTCGTCAAGGTATCCGTAGTTGATCAGACCGCTCCAGGCCAACATTTGCTGAGGAGCCCATCCGAACGGGTAATCCCACTGTCGGTTGGGTCGATGAAGGCCAATTTCTCCACGAGATTCTTCAGTTCCGGAAACCAGCCCTCCGAAAGCATCGAATCTCGGCAGCGCATTGAGTAGGAGGGAGGCGGCTTGCTTCGGTGATGCACATCTCGCCCACATCGCCCAGAATGTCGTGGCGGTCTCGTACGTGGAACGCTTCTTCTGGACAGTGTCATAATCGAAGTACATGCCCTTGGCTTCGTTCCAGAGGTATTTGTCCATGCGAGCTCTACGCATTCGTGCTCGTCGATCCCACGTGGCAGAAACCTCGAAACCCTGCTTCCGATTGGCCTCGGTCAGGAACTCGGTTGGAATGGACAGTCTGTCATTGAAGTGTTTCCGGATGCACCATGCAATATCGACCTCGTACTTGTACAACAGGGAATTCAAGTCGATCGTCGCCAGATTTGCTGCACATCCCTCCAGACGGTAAGAAGTGTCGTGCCCCGATTCTCGGACCGCACGATCATGCAAGAAATACTCATCCAGATCGGGCTCCTTGACCTCCTCATTATTGTATGCCTGAACGAACTCCTCAAAAGACATTCCGTGCTTCTCAGCGTATGGGGTCAAGATGTGAACAAAGTGAGAAGCCTCGGTCTCAGGAGGGACGCCAAGACCATCGGGCCGATATCTTGACAGACCAGTCGTGGGGTCGTAACGAGGAGCTGCCATCCAGACATTGTAATACTCCTTGATGGCCGCTCGGATGGCCAGCCGCAGAAAGTCCAGCGCCCCAGGTTCGTGCTTGATCTTGTCGTAGACTTTCATCGCCATGTCGGTCAAAAATGGTGGCTGTGAGCGAGTAAGGTAGTAAGAACGATTGGCGTTGAGAATCTTGCCATAATGCTGGATGCAGAAGGCAAAGTTGATGACCATAGACTTCGCCAAGTCCACTCTTCCGTTCTCGAGCAGGCCCAATGACTCCATGTAGCTGTCCCAGCCGTACAGCTCATTGAAGCGGCCGCCAGGGACAATGAACGGCTCTCCCTTCAGAGTTTCCTTGCCGTCGACCATCTCTTTCCTCATAGCCAAGGCAAGGATGCCGGGGGCGTGGTTAAGACCCCTGACAAAACTGGCCGTTATGGGTCCCTCGGGTAACCAGCAGACGTCGAGCCGCATTTCTGGGCGATCCTTCGCAACTTGAGTGTAGTATTCAAACTGCTCAGGACATCCAGGAGGGATGTATATGCGTGGTCTAGGATCAGCTGTCCAATCCTTGGGATCCTTGCCTGCCTTTTCGATCGTGGCAGCATCCAGACTTCGGGTCAAATTGTTCCAGAACTCATCTCTGATGCGACGGGATAGACGATCGACGGGATTTTCACTCAGACGGGAGCGATGTATCTTGACCACCTTCTTGCCCAAATCTTGCGCCAGTGTTAACTCTTGCAGGAGGTTGCTGATCATATAATTTCCACGCACTTCGGCCGTTCGGTAGCCTGCGGAGGCCAATGTGCCCAGATTGATGTGCTACAAGGGAGTCAGCCTCGACGTGTTGCCGATATAGATTGAGTCCTCACCTTTGGTCCATTGTCTTCGATTGTGATCTGGTGATTTCTGTCCACGTCCTCCCGATCAAGTAGATCCTGCAAGGTGCGGTCGACGTCTACCAGCAGCTCTTGATGTTGCTGATGATGCTCATCTGTGAGAGTTTAGTGTCAGGAGACACGTATGACATCGGTGGACATGGGGATAGACTGGCACATACCGTGACTGGTTCTTCGAGCGGGATAGTCGCCTTTGCCGAGGCCGAGAGGGCTCTCGCGAGCAGCTTTGATGTACTGCCTCAGTCAGCAGGGTGAACGTAGAGTGAGGCTTGGTATCGACAAACCGAGGTGACTGCTCTGTTTCTTGAACCCAGGAGTTGACGTCTCACGGCCTCCTCATCGTAGTAAAGTGACGGAGAAGAATACGGGTCGCGGCGCTCCAGAGACGAACTCCGCCGACGGTGTTTCACCCCATCTGGCAAGCTCATGACCAACAGCTGAGATACTCAAGAGGTGTGTTTTCCAATGCAAGCAAAGGCAAGAGCTCTTAACGAGGGCGAGGCAAGCCTAAAAATGAGAACTGAACGACCGTTGTGTGCGTCGGCTGATTGTCAAAGCGGTTGCGCAGAAAAGGGACCAGCGATTAGAGTTGCAGATTGAATGTTTTGGCGATGATGACAGGGGAGATGATGTCGATTTCAGGACATGGACCCGCTGAAAATCTCCAATTTCTTTTGTGAAAGGCTTTGTGGCTGCAGCCGGGGACGCCGGGGTTAGGTGATAGGTTCGAGTAGGTTTGCAGTGTCCAGGCCACGACCTGAATCCGGCGCTATCGAGTCAATCTGAGCACACGACCACCAGGCCGGGGGAAAGGAAGGAAATGCTGTAAGAATTAGAGTACAGTAGGTAATGGTCAGGCTGTTGCGATTGTCGTCGGTGAGGGTGAGAGAGGGGTGAAGAGGTGGAGATCTGGTCGACTGCCCCTCTATGAGCGTTTTGTTCTTGCTCTACGGATCTCACAAAGCAAGAAGGATGCAGTTGAGCGCGGGAGGAGCGGCTCCACGATGAGGACAGAAGAGGGTCAGGTGCGACACAAAAAGTAGGTCGAGTCTGCTTGTTGTTACTTTCACAAAGTCACTACGGAGTATTTCACCTGCAACTCTTCTTCTGTTTCAGTTGATTCGAAGGAGATTGCCTCTCACTCCAGTCGAGTCACTGCTCGAGACGTGCAGAGAGTGGAAATTTTCACGGGAAAGTGGCACTCGGGTGGATGATCAATGCAGGAATGACTTGTCCAGAACGTGGGCGGTACTTGTCCCTCGAGGCGGTCAGGTATCCTGAGGAAGGGCAGATAACCGTTTTTGAATATCTCGCCGGCAGTATCTCTTCGGGGTCCGTGGGATGCAGCCGCACCGGGCCTTGTGACCTGTCCAGGTTGTGGGAGGCGCGAATCAATGCAGGTCACGGAAATCAAGGGCACAATAACTTGGCCGTCTTCCATTCCCAACCCTTAACCCCAAATCCGGTGTCGTCCATACTCCGTAACCAGGCATCCAGGTACCAGCCTCAGCCTTGCTGTTAGACTCGACGAGAGCCCCATATCTATATCCAGAAACGAACCCTCCACCACCTCCATCGCTTGGATGTTGTGTCACTGCAGACAACCAATCACTTGGCCCAGGCGCCTGACGCTCCATCCCACAAGCCCTTGACTTTCGCCATGCACGGCACCTGCATGCGACCGATAGCGTGCTGCAGGCCCATGCTCGTCCTCAACCAATCACCTCCACTTGAACAGCCGTCAGCATTGTCGTGATCCCGTGCGACTATCTGCATCCCAGGAACAAAGTACAGGGCGTGTGCACATCTGCCTGGTATGCGCCACAAACGAGAACGCTAGTACACGATGGAGTAGTTCGCCACATAGCAGAGCATCGTAATTCTGGGACTCCTGTACTTCGTCCCCGGTAAGAGGTACTCGTATAGCCACCGCAAATCTCTCGTGGTCCACGCCCATGGCAGACCTCTTCATCTTGCTTAGACCTCCATCTGATCCATGCATGGCTCCTGCTTGTCCTTGAGAGAAGGCACAACTCTGGCACACCACCCGCACCAACTCCGTACTGCCCCTGTACGCTCTCGCTGTAGATACTTGCCACTTTCACGCTCGTCTGCGTATTCATAGGTGCAAGCTCCAGTCTTGACTCTCCTCTTCACCTTCTTCTTGAGGACGCCTCCTATGCCCTCCTATAGATGGTTAGCCATACGATCTTGGCACTCCGAGGGGCAAGAAATACTAACAACTTCTTGTTGGAGATATCCAGGCTTGTTGCTAGACGAATCTGGGGTGCCTACTCGGCTGAGGCTATGGCCGTCATGATCTGCAGTATCCTGGGACTTGTCCTCCAAACAGTCGGTTTCAACCCAGCATACTGCTTCGCTACTTGTGTCCAGACAAGACGCCCCGCGCCCACACTTCTGACCTTGATTGCCCAGGCCTAATCCCGTACCGAGTCCGCCACCAATGTGCGTACTGTAGCGTGAGCGCCATGTGAATACCCTCTGATAGGTGGTATCTGCGGCTCGTAGATTCCCCCCACAGGGAGCGCACAGGAACACACCGCGAGACTCGCAGGTACACGGGCCACGGAGAAAGGCCGATGAGGTGAAAGTATGAGTACTAACCTCAAAACTCTCCAACCGTGACACGGAATCGGATGCAGAAGAGCCGGAATAGGATCGATCGGACCGCATGGAGCTCGCACTGGATGCTAATGGAACGTCGATCGGATCCTCAGGGGGGTTCAGACCGTGGAAGTGTGCTTCGATCGGTGCATCGAGGCATGTCTTGCATAATCTGCGTAGTCGCTCCTTCAGTCTGATGTTGCTAAGAGGTTTGACGGCGCAATTCCGACAGACAATCCTCCCACATTTTCTACATGGGGCGACCAGGTCTCGCGCACAAGAGCTGATTTTGCTTGAAACGGCCATGGAAGCGTAGAGTCCAGTAGGTTGCGTATGAACCGGTTCTCGCCCAGAGGCTTCGCTGCGCGCCTGCGTCTGTGAGGCCGCGAGACCCTGTGTCCATGGTGTAGCCCTGGGGAGCTCCTCTAGATTGGCTCTATCTCTTTGCGCCGACAGCGCTTCTGCCAGCACCGGCGTCCCGTCATGGCTACAGCGAAGTGACTGAGACTTCAGTTGGCGGGCGTACTGCGTGAGGCTTGCATGTACGCCATGACAGGTCGCTGCCAAAGCGTGTAAATCGTTGAGGTCGAGGTGGGACGACAGGGACAGCGCAACACTAGAAGTACTGGGTCAGTATATAGGGGAGGTCAATTGACCATCCAATGCGTACGGGTAGCATGTCAGAAGGGCGGCCAGTTTATTGGTAGTCAATGCTTGAACCATGACGTTCTTGATATGACCATGCCTGCTGGCTGTACCGGAGTCTGCCTTTCCAGCCAGTCTCAGCTGATCGTGACAGGAAGATGAATCTGCATCGAAGCGCGATCGACTGCGGGATGAGCACTCGTCGTCCTCCAGGTCGCAGAACACCGCCATGCCGCCATTTGAATGCGGCCAAGCGAAGTCAGGATTAGTATGTCAAGCGAAGAATATGAAGAATAGAGAAATGTTAAGGGAAAGTTGGGTAGTTGACAGTAGAGTCAGAATCTCGAAACGTGCGGGAGGGTATATGGAGTTGGATGTCGAGGTATTTTAGGACACTCGGAGTGGTGAGGGGAGAAGCGAGGCAGATGATCAGACATCGTCATAAAGATCTGGAGTTGGCGTCCTCCAAGGACAGTACAGTACCTCGTACCCCTCCACGGCTAACTGGGGGACGGCCTCTAAGCCCTGTGCCCCTGAACTCGAAGGGCCCTCAAACAAGCCCCCGCAAGCTCGGTATAGAGGCTAGGGGGCCATGGGGGCCGCTGGAAGACTGCTCCGGCCACTTAAAGCCGCCCAAGCCACATGGTCCGGATTCAGCATCGCTCAATACTGCGTAGGGGTACTCCGTACATTCCTCGTACCTCGTATTCTGCTGAGTAAATAAGGTTCAGCTCAATCCTTCTGATGATCCTCTACATAAAGATCGAACCTACTCCGTATATGTGTCGTGATAGCAGGCGTACCAGACAACTTCTCGGTCATACTACTCTTGCTGGGCGAACCTCGTATGTCTGTACGACGGCCTGCACTCGAGAAGGATCTGTGAACAACACCTACAAGCTTTTAAGCCGAGGCACCGTATGTCGTATGCACAAGCGTACGCATCGCATCGCCTCTAAGCTTGTAACCTTCAGACGCGGACTGAGCATAAACAGCTATTCTTGATTTCAAACGTTTTCACAAGAGCTTAAAGCTCCCGACTTCCTCGAATCACCTTACGAATTGGAAAATAACGAACATCCCGACAAGATGACTTCGATCAAGTTGCCAGAATTTAAGAATACCTCGGTCGAGGAGATTCCCTCAATCGTCTCTCGACTACGAAAGACATTCTTTACCCAGAAAACTCGCCCGGCGGAATTTCGCATCAAGCAGCTTCGTAAGCTGTACTGGGCTATTACAGACCACGAAAACGAGATTCTGGAAGCTCTAGCAAGAGACTTGCGAAAGAGCGCATTCGAATCCTTCACCGCAGAAATCAACTGGACGCAAAATGATATTGTCTTCCAAACCCAGAACCTTGATAAGTGGATGAAGGATGAGAAACCTGCCGACATCGCCTTCACAAATAGGCTGCTCAGTCCTCGAATCCGAAAAGATCCTCTCGGCGTGGTACTCGTGATTGGGTAAGCTAGTTCAACTGACATGGCGTGCTGCTGGGACTGATCCTGTTCCAGAGCGTTCAACTTCCCGTTCAATTTGTCTTTTGGGCCCATGATAGGAGCCATTGCTGCCGGCAACACCGTCGTCCTGAAGCCATCAGAGCAATGCCCTAACTGCGCAGCCGTCATGCAAAAGATCATGGAATCAGCTCTCGACCCCGACTGCTACGTGTGTGTACAAGGAGCCATTCCGGAAACTTCGGCCTTGCTTGAGCAACGGTGGGACAAGATTTTCTTTACGGGGTCGGAGCGAACAGCAAAGGTGGTTGCTCAGGCAGCTGCAAAGAATCTTACCCCTGTGGCTCTTGAGCTCGGAGGACGTAATCCCGCCATCGTCACTAAGAAGGCTGACATGCGCCTGGCTGCACGACGTCTGCTGTGGTCGAAGACTATGAATGCTGGGCAAGTGTGCATCAGCCAGAACTGCATCTTGGCTGACAAAGATGTTGTGCCAACCCTGATTAAAGAACTGGGGGCCGCGCTGAAAGAGTTCTTCCCGGAAGGGGCGAAGTCGAGTGCCGACTTCTCCAGGATCGTCAACGAGCGATCATTTGATCGAATTAAGAAGATGTTGGACAATACGAAGGGCGAGATCGTTCTAGGAGGCACCATGGACCGCGACACCCTCTTCATTGAGCCCACCGTCGTCCTGCTCTCCAGCAAAGACAAAGACGACTCACTGCTCGTGGAAGAATCATTTGGACCTTTGATACCCATTTTACCTGTTGAGGACTTGGACCAGGCGATAGCGCTTGCCAACGAACTTCACGCGACGCCACTGGGCGTGTACGCATTCGGGTCCAAGACTGAGACTGATAAGATCCTTTCCGGCACAAGATCTGGCGGGGCCAGCGTCAATGATGGCTTCTTCCATGGAATCATACCAAACCTGCCCTTTGGAGGCGTCGGCGACTCCGGAACAGGAGCATACCGTGGAAAAGCTTCATTTGACTGCTTCACGCACCACCGCTCGATAACATACACGCCGAGCTGGATGGAAAGTTTACTGGCAGTAAGATATCCGCCTTTTGCGGGAACAGGCAAGCTGGAGCAGTTCAACAAGATGGGACTTCTCAAGCCCGACTTCGATCGAGCAGGCAATCGGAAGGTTGGACTCCTCTGGTACTTGATCACACTGGGATCTGGCTCTGTGTTGGGCGGCGCGGTCCGCGCAGTTCTGCTAGCTAGCATTGCTGTTCTTGCGAAAGCATACCAGGACGGAAAGATAACTCTGCCAGTCAAGAATTGAGACATGGTATGGGTGTATCGCTTGCGGAACGGCTCGGAGAACCATGAGGCATTGGCAGCCCAAGATGTAATATCCTTCTTTGCAGAACATCGTACAGTACTCGTCATCAACATGCCTTGGCGGTAGTCCACTTGGCCGGTGTTGTGAGCTTTCTCCCGTGTGAATGTGATCAGATATGCGACTCCATGACCATTCCAGCCTTGCTTTTCGTCCGCCGCGCCTGTGTCAATAGGCTAGGCACGTGCACAGCCACACATCCCCAAGCCGCCCACGCCCACAGCACCGAACCGTCCACTGCCACAGCACCTACAGTGACCGCGCAGTCCCGCCCTTACCGCCCAGAGTAGAAATGCCATCCCCAGGGTCTGGAGCATGCGTCATCGGCGACGGACAGGCCGCCCGCCTATCGCCCAACAAGCTTAACGAGCTTTCCATCATCCATCCCGCATGATCTCACGTCCCACGATCACCATCTGCTGCTTGGGATTGGATACTTTGGCCACTGCATTACAACCCTGCAAGCGTACGCGAGGGCTCCGTATCTACGTTGGAATTATTTTGACCTCGACAAAGCGCCCGCCAGCACTCCCTCCCCCGTGAAAGCAGCCTCTCATTCTGCTCCGTTCCACCACACAACAGTCGTTGCCTCAAGTACAGGCCCGAGAAGACCTCATCGGCGTTGCAAGTGCGCACGCGAGTTGTTTCCCAAATCTGGCCGAAGCCATCACATATCATGACCTCAACCTCGAATACACCCTTTGCTACGCCTGCGACGTCTAATCCCAACACGAGGCCGAGCACACCCAACCCTCCCACTCCTCCCACCGGTGCTGCTGTGCCCTCAGATAATGACTTGCGGGATGATTCTTCCAAGCTGAGAACATTTCTGGGCTTGCTCAAAAAGTACGTCACTCTTCGAACCACAATTTCCGAAGTCTGGGGTTGGGGAAACTGCGGTCTGAACGTGTATGAACTTATACTAACATGGCTGGGACTTAATCAGGTTCATCGGCGTCTCCGATATTGCCAATGTCCGTTTCTCATTACCTTCGCAGTTGATTGAACCTATCCCAAACTTAGGTATGACCACTTGGTGAACCCGATTACAGAAGAGCGAGGGCGTTGACAACATGTAGAGTACTGGCACTATTTGGACAGGCCAGAGACATTTGTCAGGTGAGGCTACCAGTCTAGGCCGGATGAAAGTTTACTGACGCCGAAGGTAGTATAGGAAGATCAAATGAGCCTCTTGGGCGCATGCTGGAAGTCCTGCGATTTTGGTTCACCAAGGACTTGGTGAGTTGAACAGCCTGATACCCCGAAGAGATCCATTCTAAGACACGATCGCAGAAATATGTCAAGGGAAAGCCTTGTAAACCATACAACTCGACGCTGGGCGAGTTCTTCAGGGTATGTCACACGCCTCCTTCACTTGCACCTCGCTCCAATTCGATACATCTGTGGAAAATGCTCAGCATGAAGAGTACGACCGGCTGACAATCGCCGCTCGCCAGTGTGTTTGGGAAGTCAACCAGTCTGCGCCTCCCATATCAGAACCCTCCAAAGCACCGCCGCAACCACCGGCCGATCCAAGCCAACCTCTAGCGAATGGAAATGCCGACCCAAAGACCGCCGACAAAAAGCCAATCCGAGTATCGTTCCTCACAGAACAGACATCTCACCACCCGCCCGTCTCTGCCTACTGGTACGACTGTCCTCAACTAGGTATCAGCGCTCGAGGCTATGACCAAATCTCGGCCAAATTCACAGGCACATCGGTTCGCGTTACTCCGGGCATCTACAATCGAGGCATCTTCATCACTCTTGCCCAACGTAACAATGAAGAATACCAACTCGTCCACCCGGCCGCCTCACTTGGGGGCCTCCTTCGGGGGTCCCTCTACATCTCCGTGGCCGACACCTGCAGCATAACCTGCCCCCAGACCCGGCTAAAATGCCTGCTCACCTACGTAGAAGAATCCTGGTTCGGCAAGGCTCAAAATCGCGTCCACGGGCTGATCTTCCGCTACGACCCGACAGATGACAAGTACACGCGGGTCAAGGAAGTGCCTGACAGAGACGTCCTCGCCAAAGTCGAAGGCTGCTGGCAAGAACAAATCACGTACACGATTCCCAACTCTGCAGCGGTCAAGGAGTCCAAAACGCTGCAGCCAACATCCGACAAACAACTCCTCATTGATCTCCAGCCCTTGTTCCCTGTCCAGAAAAAGTGTCCCTCCCCCGACGAGCAGTTGCCGAACGAATCTCGCACCTTCTGGTCGGAGGTCACCACCGCGATCAACGAGAAACGATTCAGCGACGCGACTCGGGTGAAGCAGGACCTTGAACAAGCGCAGCGGGACAAGGCCGCTAAGCGGAAAGAACTCAATGTCGAGTTCCAGCCTCGATTCTTCACGGGCGTGACCGAATCGAGCGGTAAACCGGAGTTGACCGAGTACGGCAAGGAGGTTCTCAAGGGGATGGGCGAGGGCAAATACGGGATCAATTTTGTGCCGGAGCCAGGTATTGACTGAGAAGCCATGTACAGATGAACGCACGGTTAGGCTGGGGTGAGTAGGGTCTTAAGGCAAGGCGCATAAGAGGAAGCCGTCAGATATTCAGTAGCCGGGTGGGTAGGTAGTCACGTAGCTTGGAAGGGCCCAAAGTGGATAAATAGACGGCACAGATATATCAGTCCACGTGGTCATAGGGGTGACGATCATATATCCGGCGGCCAGCACAGTCGGAGTTGGAGTCAGCTCATCATGATCATGCCACAAAGCCATGCAAGGCAAGGATCAGGGTAAGGGATTATGAGTAAGATTGATTACTTGTAGCTTTACACGTCTGGGGATCGGGTACTGGGACAGGACTTGAGCAATCACAATCACACGCGCAGCTGAGCTCTAGTCTCATATATATATCGATATGTATATGCGTGCACATACAAGTATATGGGATTGTTTGCTCCTTACCGACGCTGACGCTGGCGTTGGCGTTGGCATTGCCCTTGCCCATTTGGCGGTAGCACGGCTAAAATAATAGCTGGACTTTGACTGTCGTCGCTTTGAGATGCTGAGATGCTGAAATCCTTGAAGTATTGAGATACTGAGATGAAGCAACACAGCTCGGCATGGTTATTGACTTCCGTACACCGCACACTGTACACTGTATAGATGTGTATAACTTGGCCTGCGGGATGCTGGATGCGGGATGCTGGATGCTGGATGCTGGATGCTGGATGCTGGATGCTGGATGCTGGATGCTGGATGCTGGATGCTGAATGTCGATACTGCACACCGCGTGCCAAGAAGGGTGAAGAGGAGGGAGGAGTAAATCGGCGAGCGAGTGATTCCGTGAGTTCGTCAGTTCGTGAGTTCAAGAGTTCGTGAGTCCATGAGTTCGTCACTTCGTCGAGAGATATAGAGACCAACTGACCGTTATTCCCCTACACAGCGAGAACGGGTACTGTACGTCGAGTGTGCTGTACGCCATCTCCCCAGTGAGGGCAGCGGTACTCTACGACAGGCAGACGGATCCGATGAGCGAGTCAGTGAATGAATGAACGGTCGATGCTCGACGGACGATTGATCGGACGACTAAATGATTGAATGAAGAGAGTATCAAGACACGTTAGAACACACATCATTAGTGCTCCGGTGCTCTCGTGCTATAGTGTTTGTAGTGTGTGGATTCGCGCCGCCTCAGGCTCTGAAGTCATAATAACCATCCATTCGTATTGAAGACCATTTGTGGGTTCAACTTCAACTGCCAGCATGTTTCGTGGTGTTATATTTACTACGACCTACCTACCTACGTACATACGTACATACTCGACATGGTGGCTGGGCACAGTCAGCCCCGTATATATCACGTTGTAGACAAACAGCCTGCAGAATACACGAGCGCACATGAAGGCGTGGTGCCTCTTATGTAGCCCATATGCCAAACACCTGCTTCGTGACCTAGTGCATTTGTCGGTCCAGTCCACCATATCCTTCTTATGAGCTCAGCAAACATCCAGACAATCAGCCAGTTGATATTGCTCAAAAGTATTCAACGCGAGCCCGACAACAAACGAAATTAGCCGCAACTCACCACCAGATCGGCTCACCCTCGCGCAGGAGGTTGCGAATCCCAGGTTCAGGTACTGGGTACCGTCTGTCTCCAGCGTCAGGGAGTGATGGCAGGGGAAGACCCGGAGCTCTTCGAGTCGGAACCCGCGTGATCCAGCATCTGCAACATCTTCTCGTCCCGGCTGGTCATGTCGGAGCCGGACCTCATGCGCGCGGCCTCGCGCTTGGCCAAGATCTCGGTCCACGCCTCGGGGTCCAGCGCGCGGTGCGACTCTGCCAGCGCCGGCGCAGTAGCAGTCGCGGTGACGGCGTGGATTGCTGCGCCGACAGACCCGCTCGGCAGAGATTCACCGTCCACTTCGGGGATGGGACTGTCGACGAGACTCCGCCGGGCTTCGCGTTTCGCCTGTCGGATCTCGTGCTGTGTGTGGAACTCGGTGTGGTGTTTGGCGAAGAGCGGGACGTGCTTGTCGAGGAAGTTCGCCGTCGCGGCTAACGGATGAGGTGTCGGGATGTGCACGCGGTGCAAGTGGTGGCCGTGGCCCTCGTGGCCCTCGTGGCCCTCGTGGCCCTCCGGTTGCCATGACGCGTCCCCGGGGTTTTGGGACGGGGACGGAGTTGAGGCGATTATGTATGCTGGAGACGGGTGCACGAACGCGGATGGCGGAGGTGGCATGGCGATCTTCATGTTGGATTTTGTCGAAGAGCGGGTGGAACTTAGGGCGAGAGAGTCGTCGGATGGGGAGGTCATTGTGCTGTGGGTGTCGAATGAATTGACTTGCTCGACTCGTCTGGAGTGCTGTCTGGGGTCTGGTCGAGGTGGTGTAGTCTGTATAGCACTATATTATTGACGTCGTGGGAGACGGGGTCAACACTCCTCGCGGCGTGTCGGAAACTCTAGGACTGGGGTTTGGCGAAGCACCGTCGACCTCGAATGAGTCTCTCAGTTGCCACAATAATGCGCGCGAGAGGGCGTTATCTTGAGATACCGCAGGAGGAGACAGCTGCGATTGACTTACCGCGAGAAAGATTCGGGGAAGGCGTGGGCTTCGCGGGTGGCTTTATAAAAGAGTCGATTCCACAAGCCCGACTTACGGAAAACTTAGCAAATCATCCTCCTGGTTGTTCTAGTTCCCAACGGCGTATCTCCCTCCATGGGAATAGTGTCCTTCTTTCCACCACGAGATGAGGGGTCTGCGTCTTTAGGGAACATGCCGGCCGGACTCCAGCGTCGGCAGAGTGTCGCTAGCAATGGAGGGGAGGAGAAAGTAGAAGGAGCGAAGAGGCGACGAGGATGGTGCCGCCAATGGTTGTGAGTTATGCGGCTGACACATCATGCGACTTTATGCATCATCCCGGCGCAGCGCTTCTTCGCCTTGGGCGCCAAGCTCCCTCTGTGCGAGGAAGACGAAGATCGAGACTGATGTCAGGGTGTCCAGGTGGTCAGGAAGTGTAATAATCGCGCTGGGTCGCATGCGCGAGGCTCCCGGAGAACTGGAATTGAAAATGTCTCGGAGAGGCAGCAATGTCTTCGGGTAGTTTCTTCGGATCTGGCGAAGAATCTTCTGTACGGCTGTCGTCAATAAGTTATGCGAAGAGGGAGGTCGCCATACGGGCGAACGCCCCGGGATGAGGACAGAACATCCCGGTTGCCATTGGATGTCCAGGACTTGGGAGGATAGTCACTCAGCTAGGCGAGCACACCAAGAACTGCATAACTGCTGACTCACTGCATACAGTACTGTCCGTGTTTGCTGCTTTGGGAAACCGCGGCAGGAATTCGAAACTGTGCCTCTTCTGCGCAGCCGGTCTCCGCTCCGAACACAGTCACGATCTCGAGATCCGTTCCGGTGGGAGGGTGCAGCACTGCGCCACGGATGTCCATCTCATTGATTCGTAAGTGTGTCGAATCGCCTCCAGAGATGGCGATCGCAAAGAACAAAGATCGTCTGATGCCCAGCTCTGGGTCATTCAACACTGACACAGCCAACTAACTCTCCTGCTTCACCAAGCTTCCCTGAACCAGAAAGGATGACTTCATACCATGTGGAGTGGACGAGGCTGACGGCATCCGAGTACAGTCGCCTGGTTGATACTCTCTCCGCTTGGTACGCCCTCAGACCCAGGTGATGTGTGGACCTTGCACCCTCTGTGTCCTGACTAGCTATACCTGTCTGCACACATCTCATGTGTCATGAAGCCACTTTGGCCCTTCCACAAGTCTCCCGGAACAGTGTCGGCATTGGTGCTTTCGGCTGGCGAGTCAGGGCGTTTGTATCCTCCTGTTCCACCAAGTCGAGTTTGGAGCACGCGCGGCTGAGGAGGTCTGTGCACCGAGGCGACGGCTCTGGTAGACGCTACTATGGCCACAGGCTCATAAGGCACTGGTAGATCCGAATCAGGATGCACCTGCCTCCGTCCTAATTGCGTGATTGTGAGAGTTGATAGGCGAGATAGCTGACATGGCGACCGGGGCAGCAGAGTAAGCAGACAGTCAGGACGCGAGGACGTATCTCGAAGCAGCAACCGCAGCACGAAGCGTCAATGATGATTCAGATGCAAGGCCATCCGAAATATCCTCTGCGTCGCGAATTCGCGGATTGGCGCTGGAAGATCGAAATGGAAGTGGTGCAGGGCTGTTTGCGTCCTGTGTGCGGTTATATGAAAATCCTTCACCTCGACCACCTTCACCACCCAAGTCACCCGAGCAAGCAAGGACACAGACATATATTTGACCAACAGGATTTTGTCTCAAATCAGTCCCCGTGTCTATCCCCTGTTCTGCAGGTGTCGCCAAAATCAACAAACTTGCAGGGCGTAAGGGTGATTCACCAGGCATAGGGCTGCTTCTCTTGGTTGCTATGATTGCATGTTAGCCACCAGACTCAGTACGACAATCTGCCGCATACCTGACACACCGATGTGTGAAGTGTATTGGGGGTTTCAGATCGAGTCCCTGTCGATGACAACCCCCAGCGGAGGGCGAAGGGCAGGAGAGTACCAGACGAGATCGGCCGGAAAAGTCCCTTCACAAAAGGAGTTTCCCTCGACTGAACCTCAATTACCGCCGAGTAATTGGGCTTCAGTTAGAGTTTTTGTCTCTTCATATATAGGGTGGATGGTGAGTGAATGTGGTGGCAGATGCCGCCAAGTGTGGCTAGCCGGAGGAAGTGAACAGATAGACACAGGCCAGGGCGCTTCCGGCACCGTTGTCAGTATGTTCTGCATGTCTGTCGAGTATCAAGCTCAGCTTCGAGTGTGCCGACGATGGCGAGCCGCACAGCAGGAATAGCAACAATCGATTCGCAGCGATGTCTTGGTCCTCGTCAAATGTTCACCTGCTACATCCGATGGTGGAAAGATTGATACAGCCCAAGCCGATCGAGCTCGAAACCAGACGGATGCTCTGGCATCCGCTTTGCAGCACATCTTCCTCCGGGAGACTGAACAAGGTCCGTACCATATAAGCGCGGATATTCGCTGGAGGATCGTCGCCAGTGCTCAAGTCTCCAGCTGTGTGTATGAGAGAACGAATCCTTCCCACAGCTATATCGTCAGGGTAAGGCAAGCCAATGCGGTCGCATCTCAAGTAGCCCTTCCTTGCTTGTCGTCTCTTACCGCACGCGTCCTCCCCCGTGGGCTCGAGCACAAGCGACGGCCCTTCGAAACAGGACGGCCTGCCCGCTGACCATGAACTATCGTGGCACGGGACGGCGTGAATCCGCACAGTTGGGACCTCCAGATGTGTGCAACGCGGGTGGTCTCTACCGCAAGCGCCAACAAAGGCCGCCTGTTGAGGAGTTGGCTCGGTCGGAATTAGAGTCGAGAGTCCGAAGCATAGAATAGAGATACGAGTGCATTTCACGACACTCACGAAAGCTGCATCTTTGGGAAACCCACCTACCTCTCAGCTTGGGAACTCTCGATCGTGATTCCGAGTCTACAGACCGAGAGGGTGCATGATTTGGATTCAAATCTAGGAGCCATGTAATCCTCGTATCCAACGACCGCCCGCGGCACGACTTTGGATCCGACACCCCGTAGCATAATTGAACCCAGTGGATTTGCGCAAAAGGCCCGAACCGCGCGTGCTGCGATGTGTTCTTCTCCCGCGGGCAGTTCTGGCAGCTCAGGGCTCCGGCGGGTCTTCGAGGCTGCAAGTGAGATGGTCACGGCCATGTGCCTCTACTCACCTATAGGTGATCTTTTATATCCCAACATTTCAGGTTCCGAACCCTACAGCACCTACTGTAGAACCTCGAGGTCAGACTGCTCAGAGGCTCGGGGTGGTCGGTGGTCGGTCGTCGGTGGTCGGATCGTGTGGTTCGTATTTGATCGATCACAACTTGGGCGCTCGGGGATCATTCTTTCGCCCGCTGAACGAGCAGCTTGCGTCTTGGCTCTTGTCTGCAATCCGGTACGTGGCAGTTACTTTTACAGAGCAAGTCAAGTGGCAGGCTTTCAATTTGCGTAGTCCCTTCACAGCCCCTGCTTCTATAGTACGAGTACTCCGTACTGCGTACCTACTACTATTAATGTACAGTCTGTATGCGCGTCAGTACATGACACCATACTCGTACAGGCAGTCAGACTGACCACTACCCAGGTAACTTTGCCAGAAAGACATAGTTAGTTTTGGTTCGTGTTTCTTGTAGAGACATTGCATCGAGGCACGCACGCACGCACGCATACCCCCGTCTCTACTTGGTACATATGCAAGGTGAGCTTCTACGAGAGACGGTCGGCGCACCTCACTGGTATCTTCCTCAATAAAGCAGCGCACGCACGCACGCACGCACATCTCAAGCAGCTTCGCGTGTTTCCGTAATTGAGGCGATGCAGGCAACGCAGGTCCATAAGGGTTCGTCTGTTCAGTCCATCGTGGCTGAGACGAGGTTCGGCGGACGGAGCGTGTGCAAGTCCATGCCAAATTTAGTAGCAGCCAGCTTGCGCCCCGTTGGCTGGCACGGCTGGCAAGTTTGCCATCTTGCGTCTCCCCCACAATCACCCCGGTACCTCGTACGAGGTACTCGTCCGGATACAGAGGTGCACCCATGCTCAGTCAGGCAGTCATGCCGTCATTCAAATCAGCCTGTTCGTTTGTCGCTGTACTTAGTAAACGAAGCCCTGGTCCTTGCATTGACGGTGATCGCCAAGTTCAAGGCGACAGCGAGGAAAAAGACGCCGTCCCCATTGTCCTTTCTCGTCAAATTCGGACGAGGAAACTGAGAGGCTACTGTTGCCTAGTTCGAAGATTCGAGATTGAAAGGAAGATGACGATGAGAAGCATGACGCGGGACACATCGTCGAGCGTGACCTGCAGATCCCTTCTCGAAAATTATATGCAATCCTTGTCGAAGTGACAAATCTCTTCGCTCACTGATCTCCGTACTGTACGAGTAATATGCCTTTGCACGCTATGCTGTTGTGGTCGTGCGCCTCCCCTGCCAAATTGTAGGCTACTCCCCAATCCAGGTACGCCATGCAAAACGTGGACAGACTGTGCCATAATGCGTGAATGCTACCGTGACGCCGGCCGGGTGTGTGATTCGACGGCCCTTCCCTGCAAAATGCTCAACGCCCCCAGTGGTATCGTATCAATCAAAATAAACATCATCGTAAACCTCGTATCATCGTAACCACCTCATAGTACAAAGCCCAAAGCACCAAGGGGAGTGAGACCCCATGCTAGAAATGTGACAGGCGACTGCGTCCTTCCACGAGTCGGTACAAGACCCTCTCTGCCTCGTT